GGCATGCTCGAGTTGTGAATGTATTTTTAACCAAGTGTGAAGATGGTAGTATGTCTGAACGAGTTTATTGTAAAACCATAAGTATTTTGATTGAATTAATGGTGTAAAGATCACTGTCATCCAAATATTTTTGCAAAAAAACTCCAAGTTGACACTGATGATCCAAACGGTTGTCCTTTTGTTGGTTGGTTTAAAGTATTGTAAGGCATCGGAAATCATTTTCTGCTTAAGTCTTTATCCTGGCATTGTAGACCTTCAAGTACTTAGACTTCTTGACACCATATAAGTTTTGTAGATGTTAGTATAGCAGTTAAATGATTTACGACCCCAGAAGTAGCAGGATAGAGACCGAGGAAAGGCAACTTTTACAACCCAGCTTTGTTTATTTGTTTGTTTATCTTAGAGGTAAGGAATAAGAGTTTTACCGATGTTTTATGACCACCGTAATAGATTTATTTGGTGGTACTCTTAAAAATATTTGTCCTTATTTTATTGACTTAAACTTTAAAGAAGAGATGGGTTAGGGTAGATTACATATCTGACAAAATATATTGAATATTTCTGTCATCTTATTCTTCGCTGCGACATAAACAAAAACACAATATACGTATATTAGCATTCTTGTAGCTTTGATATAGACTGACTATATATACTGACTATTTTGTGAGGCTTACATTTAAGAAAACTAGAGAGATTTTCTTTACAAAGGTCCAAAGTTCATCTCGATTTGATTAACAGTTTTCTTTAAATTCGAATTTTGATTTGTTTTGTAAATCAATTTATATTAATTTCCATATGTTCACGCTTAGCATTTATGATACTTATTGCTATGAATTGTATTTCCAACTGTTGCCCAAGATAGCAAATATTAATCAGATTTATTTTTCATAACTCAATATTAAACACAGTTCTGATGATCGTTTTCTCGGTTTTTGATGTTTATTGTTTGTTTCCATTCATATTCATATTCCGATTCAGAACACCTTTTTTCTATCTATAAAGAATTTGACTATTGAGTGAATTTAATGTTTTCCTGAGTCAAATCAATATTTGTATTGACTGTTTATTTAAATGTTTTTCTCACGTGTATTCTATGAAAGTTATAATCAAGTCATTTCAAACGGTGCCGATAAAAGCTTTGTAAATAATGCCGGCGTGGGATGAGTTTCAATTCTAACAATATTGTAGTGTTATCAAAGCTTAGCATCGACTGCTTGATGACAAATGAGGTTTTGTACTATTGTCCAAACAAAACTATTATAACCCCACACAGGACACAACCTTCTAATTATTCCGTTTTCTTGTCCCTCCTGTTTCTTGGTCATCTGTGGGCTGTCCACTAACATTCGGTTAAATACAAAGCCTATCTAGTATCGTTTCGAATCCTTTGTATCCAATAATTCAACTTTTTCTGTTTTGAAATTCTGTCTATCCATCTTTTAATGAAAACATGTTTTCATCTGGCAGCTATTCGCCAAAACTCAGACCAATTCATTTTGTTTTTAAATTAAATGTACCAATCTTCTCTGTAGTCGTTATTCGATAAATTAATTTGTTGACTATTTTTAAATGACAAAATTAACTCTTTTAACTTAACAAAATAACCAGGTGCTATTTTTTGACTGGCAGCCAACATAATATTCATTTCCTTTTTAAAATATTAATTCTTTACGATATGTCTCGGTCCGAGTATTGAAGTATCAATTTAAATCTTCATATAGGGGTTTTAATTATCTGGAGGTTGTTATACCCGAGGACTTTTAGTTCTTAACTTTTTTCTCAAAGTTGAGGGATATTAATGTATTTACCGTAAGCAAGCATGTTGGGTTGGTTTTTTTCGCGGGAAAATAGTAGGGTGTTAGTTAGTTCATACCGCTGATTGCTCCGTTTTAATTATTCAAATATGCGAGAGAGGAACTAGAATAAAAAGATTTTTATTTTTTTAAATTCTAAATCTGTTTTTACCATTTACTGGTATCCTATAACACAGCAGCTGTTTTTCCTCACTCATTAAAAGTTCAAAGAATTTTAACTCCTAGGAGAAAAACAATGTAATCTAAATATGAAATATTCATATGTTTTTGCTGCTGGGAAGGTTAACAAATGTAGATTTTTGAGAATTTGTGTACATGTCAAATTTATTTTTCTATTTTTTGCGTTTCGTTTTTTTTTTTTTTTTTTGCTTGTATTTTATTTCAAATTCAAATACATTTAATAATTTTTAAATCTTAGATCGTGTATTTCAATGTTTTTTGCTTTATACAAAGTTACAACAGATAACTATTCCTGGTTTTAAAAAAATTACAAGAGAAATGGTAATTTTGCTACGGATCCCCTATTGCTCAAAGTGAATTTATATAATTTGATGAGGAAACATTTCATACTATAGAAATTACCCATTTACAAGCGATCATAGTTTGAAAATTGAAAGCGTTCTCATGAAAAGCGCGGTCTCCTGTTCTTTCACAAACCCTTCAAGTGGATGGTATGAGCTGGGTGTTTAAGGGACAAGTGTCCGTTTGGGTCGGGCTGAAGGGCGGTGTAATGTACCATCAATCATATTTGACACGATGACACAAACCCCTATGTTTTACATGCCTGCGTATAATGAGATAATAGTTAACGATACAAGGAAACAAACACACACCCGCTGTGATCAAACGCAACCCCTCTTTCCAAACGATTCCTATCTCGTAATTGGCAGCAATTCTCGCGCTAAAGATTTAATTTAGAGAAAAATTTATATGTTGTTAAGAGAATTAGGTGAAAGAGGAATAGCAGACATGTCTTTGGGGGCGAAGGGATATAATAGTCGTTAGTGAATATTATGGAACTGATTTTCGCGTGTATTGATTAAGCTCGTCAATTTCGTTTCCTTATCCATTTCCGATCACGGATTTGGTTTCGTTGAAAATTTGGTATCAGGAAATATAGATCTGAAATGAAATAAAAACAAATATTTGTGAGGTAATTTCTCTTGGGAGATTGCTTTAATTGATGTTGTATATTGAAAATTTCTGGCACTGTGAACACCATTATAGTGTGTAAATGCCATAAATCAATTGCAGTTGTAATCAACACTAAAAAAAATATGCGTTTATTTAATTAGAAAATTGAAGCTGGAACGGAATTTATGATGGATTAGTAACAATACACCGTAGGCTTAAACATGAAATTGTTTATATTCGATAATCACAGTAAACTGATTTGACATTTTTTCACTTGAAGAATGTCAATCATTTCATTTATTATCCACAAAGTTACTTTCCATTTCACTATGCTTTTGGCTATATCCAACCATATAAATATGAAATTGTTTGCATTCGATAATCACAGTAATAACTGATTTGACATTTTACACTTATTGTAGACAAAGTTACATACTTTTGAAGCACGTTCACCTTTATTTATCTGTTCATACGTTTAAGCAAATGAATACTATATTGTTTATATTCGATAATCGCAGTAAAATGATTTGACATTTGAAAAATGTCAATCATTTCAGTTATTATAGACAAATTTACACGCTTTATCGATATTTTATAGCGTTTCTAACCATATAAATATGAAATTGTTTATATTCGATAATCACTGTAAACTGATTTGACATGTTATACTTATTATAGACAAAGTTAAATACTTTTGAAGGACTGTCAAACCATATAAATATAAAATTGTTTATATTCGATAATAACTTGAAGGGTGTCAATCATTTCATTTTATTAAGATAAACTTACATACTTTTGAAGCACGTTCCTGATTTCCCTGCTTTTATCTGTTCATATGTTCAACCATATATTTTATTACTTTCCCATTATTCGTATATATTGGATTACACAAATTCCAAATACTTTTCCATTTTATTTAAGAATTGATTTATACGACAACGGAAATATAAATCACAGAAACTCCATGCATGAATATTATTTTTTTAAATAACATTGTCGGTGATAAATAAAGTCACGTGCTTATGAAAAAAAACTAGATTTTAAGCGGCTTATCTCGCCATGTTTTTTCTGTGTATTCTGAATTCTGACAGTAAAGCGATAATAAATTTCAACGGTATGACTTAATCAGACGATATCTTTCCACGGTATTTTTCTTCGAGAAACGGAGGTAAATGTATCTCAATTTTATTTTAATAGAACGTGAAAGCTTGTCAGATATCAGACAGAGTTGAATTTCTGACACTATTCTTGACTTTGCTTGATTTAAAAATAGAGATTCACCCACTAGATATAAGATATCATTTAAGATGTGTACGATCCCTCACTTTCTTTGGAAAAAAAAGGCATCTTTGAACAAAATTATGACCTTTAATTCAATTATTGTCTATGAAATGGACATATTGAGAAACATTCGTTTCATATTAGCTATAGGTCCTGGAAAGATTGAATATATTACAACTAATAGCCTGTGTTCGAATATACTCAATTCTTCAATTGGATTTAGTTTGACTATATTTTAAAAAGATGGTGGCGATTTTCATTCCTTAGTTCTAAATAAATGTCGCTTCATCTTAGCTTTAACTACTTAATAAAGGCACACTTTAAATATGAAAGCCCGGGTCAAATATGTTAGATCTGGGTTTCGATAAATAAGGATAAACGCGAGCAATTATAAAGTTTTATACCATAACCGATATTTAAATTTCTAACACATTTGACTTACCGTATTTCTATTATGGTTTTTACTAGATATCGTTTTCTCCCATGTGTATGTTACATTGGCTATTGTATAAGATACACGTCTAAATGTGACCCATTACTTTCTATGCGTGTGTCTACAATAATCTAACAATCCCGTCTTATAGCGTTTAACCGTTTAAGTCAGTCTTGCGCAAACGTCTGTGTTGAAAAGACACCAGTAGTAAACAATAAATGAATTTAAACAAATTTTTGTCAGTTCTGTGTAATTTATTAGAGTTGTGTAGTCAGAGCTGTAATTGATGCTAGTTTCATTGCCGTTGAAATGCTTCACTTCACGTGTTTCTCTTTCAGAAGCTCTCGAGCGCTCCAGGGAACCCGACGTCACTCATTGGCTACGGAAAAATCACGTGATCCTATACTGGGTCGGGACACGCAATGAATATTGAAGATATAGTATGCTGAACGCTTCAACCCAAGAAATAAATTTTGGAAATCGAAAGATGCAGAAAACATATTGCGAAAGCATGCCAGCTTACCAAGGATATTATCCACACGATAATGGTTATAAGTATGAAAATGCTTATGCAGCCTACGGCACCATGGGGTCGGACTCTGCCCCGGGCTACTACCGTTCCTCGAGTTGTGCTGTTCAAACACCTATGACACAAACGGGCGACCAGTGCCCGACCCTCACGGAATACAGTGATGGTTACAACAACTCGTGTATGCAGACCAACCCTCTTGCCTGTCACCCAGGGGCTAATGCTCTTCACGACTCGTCGAACCCCAGCGGCAAAGGACAGGGTGTTTTCCCGTGGATGAAAGATTCACGTCACAACAGTAAACAGCGACCTACTGCTGCTACAGGTAAGGCTATGATTTATATTACCCAGTGAAATAATAGAGGGGGACTCGTGTGCTGTATTGATACCAAGGGTAATAAACAGTCGAGTTTAATGTTTTTAATGATGAGCTAGCAAAGAGTTATGGCCTCATCAAGTCATCTACACCAATTTAACCCATGACCATAACTTGACCGCTTCTAACGATCTTCCAAGTATTTTACTCATTTTGTGTTCATTTTTAAAAAAAAAAGAAATTTGATAAACGAGCCATGAATTAGCCTCGGTGTCTTCGCACGTGCCTCATTTTTTTCCGTTTCCTCGTAAAAATGATTTGTTTTTCTTAAGCACGCTGGCCAGTGTTCGCGCCGCTAGTAAATCTGCCTCTCTAACATTAAAAGACAATTACTTTAATAGCATCTTATTTGATGGAGTAAGGAAATTGTTGAGAGGGACACACTGTGATTTATGACATTTTTTTTTACTATTGAATGAAGACTGTCTTGGTCACGTTTCTAACATCTAATGTTTGAAATGTGTTAAGTACCTTATCCATTTTCATATAAATTGATCCATTTCATTAATCTTGAAAATAAATTATCACATAATCACATCACTGATATCTCATCCTTACAATATTTACATAAATTTATTTCTTCGTTATTTTTGTATTTTTATGTAAATATATATATTCTTTTAAAATGAATATTCTCTCTTGAGTCTTATGGAGGCAATCCGATAGAGGTGATATCATTGTTTATTATTTTTCAAATATATATATACTATAGACCAACCTTATCATTATTTAAATAAATATTTTAACCATAATCAACTTAGTTATAAGGACAATCGTTATGAATATATAAACTCTGACATACTTACCACGTGTTCGGTAAATAATATTCATGGCTAATGTTTCACGAAACCTGTTAAACGGCTATATTATAAACAATTCGAAGATGTTTACATTAAAACACATACATATATATGTGTGTATTGGAAGACATGAATAATTATTCGTGAATAATATAAAAGAGAAAATTATCTGTGTGATAAAGGGGCCATTTTATTATATTTTACAATATAACCCCTTGTTGAATTTCTAGAATTATGTAGGTGTAAACATATAGGTGACAAAAGGAATAATTAATTAGGAATCCAAGGAAACATTTTTAAAAAGCCATTAATGTCAAATTAATGATTGGCATGCAGGGAATTTAATTGAAATGACATTCACAGTCGTGATGATCATTGCTAAATAATTGTTACACAATTATAGTGCTTGAAATTAAGACTTTGCGCTTGGATTCCTGTTCAATATTTATCGACGTATTTATCTTTAAAATAGCAATTAATTTGAAGTCTTAGGTGAAATATATTTTCCATGGTGAAAGCAGCTAGGTCAAAATGAACGAGTCAAATATTGTTTTAAAACAAGACTTGAAATGGAAAAATAAAAGACCCCAGATTCAATCTAATTCTAGGTAAAATAATATTGACGACGTCAAAAGTATCATTTTCAAAATGATAAAAACAATTTTCTAATGAGTTTTGCTGCATTTTTTAGGGATTAATTTGATATTTTTAATATTTTTTCTATTGAAATGTCGCTTATAATTTTAATAATTAAAATATTGATTAAAAAAACAATAGCTTAATGTTTATATTAATGAAGGTATTGTTTTATGTTGATTTTAAAAATTGTGATGAAATTCAGCTGGAAAATATATCATTTTTATCCAAACATTGTCTTGCAAAATGCTCAAATTTGAGCACAAAACTGCCCAACCAAGTTTCATTAGAAAGCAATTAAATAAATCGGATTTTCCTTTTCAATTAATCTGTTTTTCTGCTATTAAATTTAGCAGTCGATGCGTGATAGTTACATCAAATATTAATATGAGAACGATTATATCTTGGTCGTGTTATTGTCGATGGCTTATAACGGTGAATTTATAAACAGCGATATTGAAACGCACTGTTTTGTATCATACAAATAACCGCTGGATTTGTGGATGTCTTTTTCAAAACGGGTTGAATGCCGACATGAATTTTCTCCATAAGCGCATTCAAGTCAAGTCGTAATTTAAATCGTAAACTTTGACTCTATAGTTCAAAGTTTAATGTCTAAACAGACAAAATCTCCGATAAGAAAACAATAAGCAACGCATAACAATAGATTTACAAAAATATATTATGTCATTTAAAGGTGATTTATATGTCATAAGTATATTGTCATCTCGGTCTGCATCTTCATATATATCACAACATCTTCTAGATATACATATCGTAACATACTTTATTTACATATACGTCTAGACCTTCTGATATATCCATAAGTAATTTAATACTTATGTTACTTAACACAGAAATACCTATAGCCATTTTTAAAGTCAGTTTCGGTTATGTGGCTATATAGATTACGCGGATAAAATATAATATACAAGTTGTTTGAGATGCTTAAAGGGACTTTCCACCCACAAAAGATTTCTATTTCTCAGGCTAAGAAAGTATATATATACTGATATAGAAATACGTAATAACCGTATATTTTAATCCCATGAAAAAAAATTAAATGCTGTGTCAAAACGTTTTGTTAGAGTTAGTCTACTTTTTAAATTTTTCATATTGTATATCGAAGTCTAATGATTTTAAAATACGTTTATAATACATATTGGAGAAAAAATAGTGTGTTGAAATCAATGAAGTCGACACACAAAAAAAACCGTCAAACACCAGAATGTCATTTAAATTACATTATAATTTTTACAGTAGCAATGCTTTTACATTTTTTAAAAACAAAAATGATGTTTCGAATCTCGGTAGGCAATATAGGGAGGGGATGGGGAGGGGGGGGGGGTACTTTAGAAGCACGAGCCTTAAGATTGATGGATATCCTGATAGACAACTCCAAGAAAAACAATAGTTGAACGTCTTTCTTCAAATGCGACAATATCATGTGGATTTGTCTTTATATAAAATCATAACAAATGCCAAAAATATATTATAATTTATTTTACGCAGAAAGAAGTGAATAAGGTACTTTACTCCCATAGTTCATTGTTGTCATGACTTTTCTGCTAAGCGAGTTGTCCTTTTAAAACCACCTTAATACGTACATGTAGGCCATCTTGGGTATGATGCTTATCTTTGTGTGCCATGTCACTTCCAGATATAAAGTATGATAAAGGTGCCAAAATATATATTGTCAAATATAGTTTGTCAGTTATAGAAGATAAGACAATATGGCTTCCAATACTCGAAACGGCTCTCTATGTTACAACATGGTTAAAGTAATGTTTAAAGGTTCTCTATTTTACAAATGGTTTAGAGTTCAAATAAATCTATGTTACACATGGTTTAAAGTAATGTATATAAAGTAACTCTATGTTACAAATAGTATGGTTTAGTGTATAAAATGTTACAAACAGTTTAGTATAAAGTAATATTAATATTATATTTTAAACTAGTGTATAGAGTAACTAGGTTACAAATGGTTTGAAGTAATATATATTACAAATAGTATGGTTTAAAGTAATACATAAAGTACCCTATGTTATAAATATTGTAGTTTATAGTAACTTTAAATAACACATAATATTATGGTTTAAAGTAATACATAAAGTACCCTATGTTATAAATATTGTAGTTTATAGTAACTTTAAATAACACATAATATTATGGTTTAAAGTAATGCATAAAGTACCCTATGTTATAAATATTGTAGTTTATAGTAACTCTAAATAACACATAATATTATGGTTTAATGTAATGCATAAAGTACCCCTGTGTTATAAATATTGTAGTTTATAGTAACTCTAAATAACACATAATATTATGGTTTAAAGTAATGGATAAAGTACCCTATGTTATAAATATTGTAGTTTATAGTAACTCTAAATAACACATAATATTTGGGTTTAAAGTAATGCATAAAGTACCCTATGTTATAAATCTTGTAGTTTATAGTAACTCTAAATAACACATAATATTATGGTTTAATGTAATGCATAAAGTACCCCTGTGTTATAAATATTGTAGTTTATAGTAACTCTAAATAACACATAATATTATGGTTTAAAGTAATGCATAAAGTACCCTATGTTATAAATATTGTAGTTTATAGTAACTCTAAATAACACATAATATTATGTTTTAAAGTAATGCATAAAGTACCCTATGTTATAAATATTGTAGTTTATAGTAACTTTAAATAACACATAATATTATGGTTTAATGTAATGCATAAAGTACCCCTGTGTTATAAATATTGTAGTTTATAGTAACTCTAAATAACACATAATATTATGGTTTAATGTAATGCATAAAGTACCCCTGTGTTATAAATATTGTAGTTTAAAGTATATCTAAATAAAACATAATATTATGGTTTAATGTAGCGTTTATGGGTTAACGTATAGCATATCCAGTCTTTATCTGTATAACAATTGATCATTAACCTGTCAGATTAAAAACGTACTCTTAAATATAAAAATACGCTCAAATTAAATATGCATAATTCTCCCAAAACAGCCCTAATGCTACAATTATCAAAGTATAAAGAATGATACAAAAATAACTAGAAAATACTCAAAACGGACTGGTGTTAAGATAGAAAGTATCACTGTGAGTATAGAAACATTTAAGATCTATCCCAGTTTATTGGAGAACCCTCTGGCTATATAACCTTTATATTCAAAATAAATTCTAGCTTATATGCATACAACTCTTACTTTTCGACTGCAACAGATCATTGAATTTGTTACAATTTCTACGATCACTATTGACTTAATGTGTAAAATATATGTGTATAACAATAGCTTAGAAACTGCAATAAATATTGGTAATATTATCCGACATTAGAGACAGTATTTTAATATTTAATAATATATTGCAATAACAACACTTAATATGTTAATGAAAGTAGTTTTCGTGTGAGATTTTACAATCTGGAATCAACCCAGATCAGCGGCGCTGTTAAAGGCCTCACATGTTACATTACAGCAATAAAACCTCCAAAACTAT